AGCACTTTTTTCCATAGTTTGGCCAGTCCTGCGACTTATATACGTTTTTTTCCTCTATTCATCATGACACAATTTTTGACTGACGTGTTAAATGTTCATTCATAACATGAATCAAAGAGTAAACATTACCATTTGCAGCCACGAGAGGGCCCTCTAGGCTTTTGACCACTATATGTTGTTCCTTGTCCGCTAACCCCCTCCCCCCTAAACATTTACTTGGAGACTACTGAGAAAAACATAATTAAAATGCCCCCAAAAGTGATGTGGAATGAGATCGGTGCATTTAGCGGTAACCTGCTTGTCGGACTCGTTGGCTTCTTATTAAGCCTGTCCAGGATCCCAGGTGTGTTCTGTGGGTTGTTGTTATTTCAGATGAAAGGTCTGCTCTAGAACTTTGTGAAAAACACGTCTAAATAAATGTGACTTATACTCAGAAGTGACTTATGTATTGTTTTTTGCTCTTCGTGAGGCATTTTTGACCGATGCCACCTATACTCTGGAGCAATCGTAGTCCAGAAACTACAGTATACAGCAATCTATAGCAATGGCCTGGACAAGCAAAGACCTTCTTTTAACTTTGACCTCAGTTTTTGCCCTTGACTTTAGAGATGGGGTGATGGAAATAAGTAAGACACTAGGTCTGGTCATGATACACGTGTATGAAATTTCATTAAATTATCGAGTGGATCAGAAGTTATGGGACAAGAGAACGTTCATGGACGTAGGAACGGAGACTACACCAGAATACGTCCAAAACTAAAACCAGGAGTCAAGGAAATCATGACGGGTCAAAAATAACTTGGGGAGGAAAAACTAAAAAAAACACACACATCAAAGGTCTCTTGGTGAGAGCCTGATCCTGTTTACTGGGTTTGCTTCTCAAGAAGCACATAGTCGCATCATTTTCTGGGTCCAAAACAAAGCAGCCTCTGAGCAGCTCGCAGAAGTAGGTCACTGAGGATTCCTTTCATTTGTACAACACTTTCCAAATAGTTTTCAACTCGGCCCAAACTTCCAGCTGTAAGTTAACCCTTAAACAGCCGAGTGCTTTTTAATGCTTTTAAAGTTCTTTGTTGCCTTGTCAAACACATAACTGTGCTTTTCTTCAACAGCAACATTCATCTTATGGTTAAAGTCAGATTTTCAGTTTGGGCCATCTTTCCTGTATGTTTTTAATTGCCAGCACGATGTGATTTGTTTAATTTATAAAATACAGGCAGAAAGAAAACGTAAAGGAGCATAATGATGAAACTCTTCCAGAACAGCAGGTTCAGTAACGATATCTGCAGCAACGTTTAAACTACGACAACTTCCTTCAGGTTTTTACAGTTTGCTTATAACACCAAACTGTTAAAATAAATCAACACCAGAACGGTTTTATAACAAAAAATAAAATGGTATTTCAGCCCTTGAGACTCAAACGAGCTACCACAACATACCAGAGGGATCACGTAGCTAGACAACCATCTTTGTCCCCTCTCTTCAGCCAACATGTGTTCTCGTGTTGGGTCTGCAGCGCCGCAGAGTCCAGCTCGCTGCAGCTCCATCAGCCACCGTGATGTGAGAGAGAAATCAGCAGGGCGAGGCCCAGATTTCACCCCCGCGTCAAGGTGATTAAATCTTACATTTACTGTGCTGTGAGGTCTACAGTCAATGTGCCCCCCCCCCCTCTACACAGAGCCTCTCCTTTCCATGTACTGCATGTCAGCTTTGCTTTTTGTCACTTGTAAGGGTCTACACGGCTACTGCTGACTGCCAGCTGTTGGCAGATGTGCAAATGAAAACGTTAACAGTGCTCACGAAGCAGACGGCAGGTTCACAAACCGTGAGCTACTAAACAGCAGCTGACCCACCACGACTGACCTGGCATCTCATTAATACACAATCAGCTCAGAAACTTCAGTCCAAGACAAATGAGTGGGACTGAGCAACATTTTCTATTGTCTGAATGCTGAGTCAGATGTTTTTAGCCGTTTTTAACTTTGGACATTTTGTTGTAATCTAATTACTTAGTAATTAATAATTGTTCCATTTTAATTTACTTATGCTACTTTTAGCTTGTGTTCTACTACTTTTAGCTAGACTTTTGCTCTTTGTAGCTAGTGTGTTGCTACTTTTCAGTCATTTTACCTAGTCTTTACTTTAAACTAACCCGCTGTTACTTGTAACTTTAAGCTGTGCCCTAGTTACTTGTAGCATTTGGCTACTCTGTAGTTACTTGTAGCTTAAACTGTACCGTAGTTACTTGTAGCGTTTGGCTACTCTGTAGTTACTTGTAGCGTTTGGCTACTCTGTAGTTACTTGTAGCGTTTGGCTACTCTGTAGTTACTTGTGGCTTTAAGTTGCACCCTAGTCACTTGTATCTTTAAGCTAACCCGTTGCTACTTTTAGCTTTAAGCTAAACCGTTGCTACTTTTAGCTT